GAGACGGAACAAAATTTTCTAAAAAATAATTACCATTTTGCAAGGTTTTTTTTCATACAGGTAATGAATGCTATACAAAGTTGGATAGCTCGTTATTCTGCAGCATTCAAGATTGAATTAATAACAACAAATAATTCGTAATAAGTTTTTTTTTTGAATTTAAAATAATAAAATTCATTGTTTATTTATAAAAATAGCTGAGAATTACTATTAAAACTAGCTACATTTTTTTTTGTAGTGTTGCAATTCTATTAATTTTTTTACAAAATTCATATATGTATTTTGTGTGGAATCCACAGCTCCTCAAGAGTAAACTATTTATTTTAATATAAGAAAAGAGAAAAATTTTACATTTTTGAAAAAACCAAGTTCCTCCTATCTACAAAGTTGCATGATTTCATGTGACTTTGCATAATGAAAGTACAAAATTCCATAGTATGCAACTTTTGTCACTCGATACATTTTCTTAAATTTAAATATGTCGATCACCCGGTTTTAATTAGTGAGTTTCTATCATTGATCGGCGGACCATGAATTAATAATTTTGGGTAGGGGACTAGATGGGCTTTTGCCCAATCAGTCTCTTGTCCTATAGATTAAAATTATATACATCTTTGTCAGTAATATGGCCAACAAGAAAAAGAAAAAAGTTATAAAATGGTTTGGATTTTGTTTGGTATGTTATAAATTAATCATTTTCATAAATTTTCTGTTTTTCATTAATTTTTGTTGACCAACTGAATTTGTTGTTTTTTAAATGGGAACTTTTTCCCATATAACTTCCCACCCTAGATTAAAGGAGTGTAGCTCAATGAGAGCATGTATCTTACGAGTATAAAGGTGGCAGTTTAATTCTGCCCACTCATATTGTGATAGTCACCATGATCACTGGCATCAAGGAGAAAGTTGTAAAATAAAATGGTTTGGATTTTGTTTGGTATGTAATAAATTAATCATTTTCTCAAATTTTCTGCTTCTCTTTAATTTTTATTTGACTAACCAAATTTGTTTTTTGAATGGGGGTAGGGTTGTTGGTGAGTAGGCATGCCACTGACAAGACAGGAGACACCTTTGAGATATACCAGCCAAACTCATAGAAAGGGATCTTTTGTCCAGACTTAGGGTCACATGGATGTTAAGCACAGAAAATGTACACTATCAATGTATATTTTTTTCAACAAAATAAACATTTAAATAATTAATTGTTAAATATTAATACTTTTCTTTTCATAAAAATTATAGCAACCCAGGTTGCAGCCTCCTGAGTTGCTGAACTTTCAAACCATTTGCAAGTGCCAACTTTATACTGAAGAGGTATAACACAATCATCCACACAGGCACCAGCCATCAGTGATCAATGCCCATATGGTAACAGCCAAGCCTGGTCTGAGGGGAAGATAAGAAAATGTTTTGTCCAAAGCCTTCCAACATGTGGGGGCCTTCACTGTGGAAACAATTCCAAAATTATGGAAGTGTGTGAAAGCACCCAACCATATGTTTGTGATAGGAAATTTTAGTTAAATCCGACACCTGCAATCAACATCAGATTTATTATTCATAATGAACCATAATTGATAATCAGGAAAAGTAATTTATTTGTGAACCCTAGAGATCTGAGTAGAGACGCATTGTTAAGAGTTTCAATATGCATGGCCTTGGTATTATTACTACCTGGGTGATGCAATTGTTTGTTATGTCAATGATGATATCAAATGTATCACATAATAATCATGACCATTGTGAATATTCAATGGATGGAGGCATTCACATACAAGGAAATGATTAAATAGTAAGTCATTTTTGTTTTATTAAAGACATATGGTTAAATCAAGCAATCAAGCTGTTATACTTGCACATGATTTAAAATTCTTTGTGCTAATTTAGGGCCCCATCTTTCTTTGCTTGTATATAATCTATTGGTTCTTTTTTTACTGGCCAAATGATGCCAAATTGGGTAATGGGGTATCAGTAAATATCAGAATCTGATTATTCTTTAAAAAAATAATCAAGGTATTAGCATACCGATAAGTTAATAATATTCTTAATATTTTTATCATAGTCTAAAAGCCTATTAGTAAATATTGAATGAAATTATCAGATATTCTTTTAAAATTAATACTATTTTTTAATTAATTTAATAAACCAATAGCTCTTTTGTATTGTAATTAAATTATTGGTTAAATATTTCTAAAGCTCTTTGTGCTAAAAATCTTGAGTAGTAGTTAGGTTTCTATTCAAATGTTTATTTGAATAAAACAAATAATTTGAGTAATAATAATTTGAATAAAACAAATAATAATAATTTGAATAAAATGAATAATAATAAAACGAATAAAATGAATAAAATGAATAAAATGAATAAAACGAATAAAATGAATAATAATAAAACGAATAAAATGAATAATAATAAAACGAATAAAACGAATAAAACGAATAAAATGAATAAAACAAATAAAACAAATAAAACGGATAAAATGGATAAAACGGATAAAACTAGTGTTTGTACTCATAATAATAATAGGTTACTCATGAGTAACATGAGTATGAGTACCGTGAGTACTCGTAGATCATGCTATTAATAGAAAGATCTGCACTCATACGAGTACTCAAGTGTTACAAAGCAATATTGACCTATCATATTTAGGCATTTTATTATGATCGTTATTATTATTATAGTGCAGGACATCTATAACGGTCAATGATTATCACATGATTTTAAAAGCTTATAACTCCTTATTAAAAAAATTAAAAAAAAAAATAAACCGATAAAATTAAAGCTAAAGACCTAAGCTTCATTTCCATCGGTTTACTTTTTCATTTTATTAGAAAAGTTTTGAGTTATAAGGCTTGAAAGTTAGAACATTTTATATATGTCTATATGTAAATTGTAAAATTTCGGAATGATATTCCCTTGTGGTTTCCTAAAAGGTTGATGATCGGCTTAAAAATTTTCCGTGATACAGACAATCTTTCCAATAAAAGGAATATGATTACTTAAATTAGAAAGATCTTCTAAAATTTTAAGTTTCGGACTATTGACCATTATAGATGTCCTGCACTGTATTGGTTTTTTTGGTAGGACAGATGCGAATTGATTTTTTTTTTTTTGACAGTCCAAGGTGATAAAACGTGAGTGTTGTTGTTTGGTTTGGCTTGGGTCTCCTAAAGAAAACGTGTTAATAACTAACCAGAGGTACTCTTTTTTACTTGTATTGATATGTATGAGGTGTCTTTTATTTTAGCTTATAAATCTTTCAATTGGAATCAAAACGCGGAGCAGATCTTGCTGGGTAATTACAAGATTTTCATTGATAATATTTTGCTTTGCGTAATTGTAATAATAATACTATTATTAATATATAATTACAAGATGTCAAGGCAGCACACCATTTAAAAATAAACAATTCAAATATGCAATGTTTGATTATCGAAAATTTACAAGTGTTGAAGCACGCAATGCTACCTTGAGCACATTACAGTCATTCTCACACGTTCCTCATGTACAAAAGGCTAATCTTGACCTGGCGACCCGAAGATATGATGATGCAATTGAATTCCAGAAGGCGCGTGGATCTGGAGTTTATCAAGATTGTATCAATCGTCAATGATGCTTTCACTAATCTTCCCAGACCAGAGAAGGCCGCTGGCATGCTGGTTGAAAAGTTACCTGCAACAATCCCTACTCTAGGATAAGGATGGCTCTGCGATCAAGTTGCAACTCTGGAGGAATATTAAGAGAATCTGCGGTTCGTGAGGTCACAATTCAAAGCAGGGCTGGTGGCCCTGAAATTGCATTTGGACTCTGATGTTAAGAGGAAGCTGTAAAATAAAACGGATTAGATTTTGTTAGGTATGTTTAAGGCTTTACATGAGCCAGCTTGCAAGCTTACTAAGTCATTTGGCTTGTGAGGAGCTTTAGGTATGTTACATATAGATTAATAATTTTCATAAATACTCTAATTTTTGTTTGAACTTGTTATTTAAATAAATGGGGTAGGGGGTATAACACAATGCAATCATCACACAAATGCCAGCTATCAACAATCAATGCCCATATGGTAACATCCAGCCTGGTCTGAGAGGAAGATAAGTAAAAGTTTTGTCCAAAGTCTTCCAGCATGTTCAATCGTTTCACCTGTGGAAAAAATTTCCACATTTATGGAGCGTGCTTAATTGCACAGCACTTGTATGTTTGTGATAGGAAATTTTAATTAAATCTGACATCTGCAATTAACATCAGATTTATTATTCATAAGGAACCATAATTGATAATCAGGAAAAGTAATTTATTTGTGAACCCCAGAGATCTGGGTAGACACACACTATTAAAAGTTTCATTTCTGCATGGCCTTGGTATCATTACTACTTGGGTGATGCAATTGTTTGTTATGTCAATGATGATATCAAATGTATCACATAATAATCATGACCACCATGAATATTCAATGGATGGAGGCATTCACATACAAGGAAATGAAGGAAACGATTAAATAGCTAAGTCATGTTTGTTTTATTAAAAACATATGATTAATTATATTTAAAATATACAATAAAATAATTTACTTATTTGTATTTCTTTGGTCAAGATTGACAAGTTTTTTCATAACGAACTGAACACAAACTTTCCATCCAAACTTAACTTAACATTAAAAAAAAAAAAATTAACGTTAAAAAAAATAAATGTTAAATGTTAAAAAATTTCTAAATTTCATAGATTTTAAGAGAAATAAAATAAATAATTTTTGTTTATATATATTCAAATGGTGTATATAAATTTGTATATATGTAAAATAATAAAATATTTCATATAAGTTATATAATTGTATTTTATATTTTTATTTTATTTATATTAATTAATAGTAGTAATAAGTTTTAATTAATCTCAAAATAAGTTCAATGAATAACAAAGAATTATAATTAAAATATTAAAAAATTCCCAAATTTTCAAAAGATCTCATCAAAAAAAAAAATAAGAAATCAAAAAAAAAAAAAAAAAAGGATTATTTAAGTTTCATAAATATAAGATAACATGCCTAATTTTGAGAAAAAAAGAAAGAAATGAATTAGTGCCAAGCTGTTGTTTCAAAAGGACACACATATATATCAAATATAAGAATAATATTCTTACATGAACAATGGGCAATTGTGATGTTTTCTTTTTGCCTTTATTAATGTTGTCATTATTTTCAATGTTATTATTTTCATCGCCGTTAATGTTGTTATCAATTTCATCTCCAAGGATGCATTCTTCCTCTTTGTACTCATCAAAAGATGCAATTTTTTTTTTATCTTTAGCAAAACCTTCTG